CATTTGCATGCATGCAATGTACTGTGAATACAGAATCAGGGTCATTGCGCGACGGGAAGAAACGTTCGTCGATATTTTTACTCTTGATATTACGAAAACAAAAAATCTATTGAGCGCATCGTTCCATTCGAAATGCAAAACACAGCACCTGCTCATACCATCGCGCGAACTAATATTTATACCGTTTATGTGGTTAGGCGAAAAGAGAGACGATATAAGAGCGATATAAAACTAACAATCATTTTAATGAAGAAACTAACATGTTGTTCAGTGTATGGATGGGAAAAAATGAACTTAACGAAATACACACGAATAAAAAAAAAAATAATAATTAAAGACAAACACAAAATTTATTATTAGTCTTTGGAAACAGGCAAATCCCATGCAAACATTCACCTATATAAATCATAAGATGTATGAAGAAATTGCGATTGAGAAATCTAATGTCGTAAAGTCGTAGATGCTTATCACATCGACCTGTCACTACTTTGGATGATATAATAGTATTTGATGGGTCGAATTTTAATCTTTCGTTACCTTTGTTTGGAACAATTTGAAGATTAATCCATGTTTTGTATAGTGTAACATGAAAAATACCATGGTTTGTATGTACTTTCAAGTATCGAACAGTTCTATTTGAACTTGGACCTATACCTCCTATCCGGGAGCAATTTTGACGAAAAAAGCCTTTGCTGACAAAATTTTGGCTGTCCGTTCGGAAATTAGAAGAAGTTTATATGCCTGAATGCCCATTTTCTTCTGTTGAAAGAAAAAATCTTCCTGAAAATAATTTCAGAGCTGTCATTGTCACCGGAGAAGTGCCAATCCCATATTGTAAAATTTTTCAAGTGCTTTGAATACAAGAAAGAGCACCACTTACGCCCGCACGTCCACGGCGCCCCAAACAGGTCTGAAAATTTGTCGACGGATGTACGGACAAATTGTACAACATTTTTCGGTCACGGACATTTTGGTACTATCTTACAAGCACCGGCATCATTAGTACTTTACTAGTAGTAGATACTCAATCGTCGATTCTTTATCAAATCAAACTTGTCAAGTCACCGCAACAAAGCGAATTATCGATAAAAATGTTCTACCGACGTAGTCAACCGACTGACCGTTGCGTTTCTCATTGCTCTGTCCATTTCAAATCATTCAAACGTGAAGCGATGCCTTCATTATGCACCTTGAAATCATTCGCAGAAATCGACTTCACAAAAAAACCCTCAATTAAAACACCATAAAATGCTTCTTCCAAACAAAAACCGTAAACTATACGAAGCCCTTTGTGAAAAATAATAAGAATGATGCAACCAAAAAAATGTTGTAAATTGAAAAATCGTCGATTTAATTCGTAATTACCAAAAGTGTAATACTTCATTTGCATTGTAGTCTCTCATTCAATGCATCTCAATTGGTCGGTAAAAATTGTATTGTTCTTCACACATAATCTTCAAACTTCGATCGATTTGATGAAAATGATGAATGATTGAACCACCATGCATCGTCACCGTCCATTTAAATGCAAAGCAATTTTTTTTCGTGTATCTGCTTAATTTTGAAGTCAAAAGAGAGATGAAAAAATAGTTTATAATAATTTTCTGAATCTCTATTGTTATGATTTATATGATACATCGGGTATGATGATGAGTGCATGATGTTGTACTTGAACAATAAACGACTGTTGAGTCCAAAAAGGAGGCCGTTCTACTGACATCAATTCTGGGCCTGTGAGCTCTTAAAGGTTTTGTTCATTGTGTTTCAGCTCTCGAAAAAATCGTATTCATTGTTGCAGTTTGTCGATCAGGTGAAATCACATCAGAGGCAGAAAAATGCACATCAATCAATTGGCCAAAACGATTGAATTCAAACGCGGCAAAATTCAAATGAGCGCTAACAAAATCGATCATAAAGGCGATTAATTGGGCAATTTTTAGACGATGATGATCCATGATGTCGTTCTCAGAAGGTCGTGAAGCACAATCGTTGAGCAATCGACCGCACAAAGAAGAAGAGACACATACAAAAAAATGTCGTCGCCGATTTAATAGAAAAAAAAACAAACCAAATATGCGCTTATAGAATCAGACCCGCTAAGACTTCTTTCGAAGATTTTGAAAGTTCGCTACAAACAGATTAAATACCAGCGAGACATTTCGAAGCCAAAGTTGAATTTTCGTCATCATAATAAGAAAATCACAATTTTTTTCTTTGTACAGAACAATGAATACATCTATTCTCTTTGTCTATATGAGTTACATTTGAATGGGGTAGAATAAAAACTACTTCTCGAAAAATGTTTAAACACGAAACCTAAAAAAAACTTTCGATTAAAAGTGAATCAATTTTTTTTCGTCCAATTGAAGTGAACCAAAAAAAAATTGTTCAGTAAAAGTGAACCCAAAAAAAAAATTCATTTTAGTGTATTTTACACTGAAAAAACCGAGTGAAATTTTTTTTTGGTTCACTTTTATTGAACAAAATTTTCTTGATTCACTTCAATTGGACAAAAAAAAATTGATTCGCTTTTTATTGAAATTTTTTTTAGGTTTCGTTTTAAAATAGCAATTTTTCGAGAAGTAGTTTTTATTCTACCCCATTCATTTGAAACGAGTGACAAATAAAATTTGATGATGAGATAACAAAAAAAAGCGATTGATAAAGATTTTAACAAAGTGACAAGAAAATTGATTTTTTTTTTTCAATGGAACAATAAAGATTAAAGAGTGATTATTCAATAGAAAACAAGCTGCTGCTTTGGTAGGTTCCTTTGTTTCACTTATTCAACCAAGTTAGTTGAACCTACGTAACGGTAACCGTCGCTCTTCATCCGATGAGTCGTCGAAGGCGTGTTTTTTCTCTTTCATTCAATTGATGTGGTATCATTTTTTCGATCACTTTTCCGATGTCTCGTTCACTGCGAACGTATAAAATTGGCCACGGAAAATAGGAGCCAAAGCATCTAAAATGAAAACAATTTAATTTTTGATCAAATCCGGATGTTTGTGTGCATCTCTAAATTATTTGTTTGTCTTTTGAACGTGTCGTGTTTTGCACCATTTGTTATTGTCCAATCGACAAGGAAGTAAAGAATAAATGCACGATTCAATATAATAAATAAGCGCGCACGACTTTCAAATAATTTATGCGAAACACTCGACTGCATACCGTTCCATGTCGACACTATTGGTTGACCCGACGCACACACAAACAAGAATCAAACAAACCTGTGAAATCGGACTGCATTCAAAGCGTCCGGCTGCATCGATTCGAGTCGCTTTATCTCGTATTCAAATTGCTTAACATAGGTTCGACTTTGTTTTATCTTGGATGATGATGATGACATGGCCCACACTCACTCTCTTCGTTTTGGATTCAAAACGACGACGATTCTATATGCAACGTTATTGGTCTGGCGTAGTTTTTTTTTCTCTCGTTTGATATGAATACTTTTTCATGCTCACTGTTGATGTTGTAAAATGTTTGATATCGAAAATAACAAATTACTTCGTCGCCATGGATACCGACAACAGTTGGTGCTCCCATTAAGCGTTTACAGCACAGCGCTTGTCTCTTTTTCGTTCTTTTATATATCGATTTTTCACTTGAGTTCCGCAACAGAGAGAGGCTCATGGAAGAGAGAAAAATTGAATTTCGCAAAACAACTCGGTTAAATGCCACACGCGATGCTCCGAACACAAAGTTTGGAAAGTAGAACGTATATATATACAAAAACTTAATAAGTGAATTTTGCCATTTCAACATTATAAATTGGAAGTGCTCCTTTTATTATGGCTTTTAAACGTATTGAAATTTTACAATGTTTGGCTTAAAACACAAATCATGGAAGTTACAAAGAGATAAGATGGAATGGTTATACTTTTACTGTGAATTACGGAAAAGTAAAATAAAATCACAGCATAGGAAATGTGCTGGGGTCATAAATTTTTTGGATTTGTCGAATTGTCGTTTGTCAGCTTTCACTTCCATTAGAAGGAACGGGTTATTTTTCTGTATTGTTTCCATTTCACGACGTTTTCTTAGCGCTTGGGTACTAAAAGTGCAAAATTTGACGAACATTCGATAAATTACGACGCAAGTTCTATTGGAGAATCGAAGAACCTTCAATGTTATCCATTACAGCGAATTGTAGTGGTTATTAGTCACTTTTGTAATAATAATATAAAATATTGAACATCAAAATTTAAAGAGCAGAACTTTATTTGTTGCATGAATAATCACTTTATAGCGCAAGTCAATATATTTTGAATTCCTTTCCAAAGTGCCAATCAATTTCATTAGCAGACTTCTTTCACTTTTTTTGATAAATCATTCATGAAAGGCATTTTTTTGCTCTTGAACCAATTTTAATATTCACGCCGTAAAAATGTGTCTGAGTAAAGTTCAGCCAGAGGTTCGAAGTGATTGATTTTAAACAAGAGATGGACAGACTGCACAGATGGTGCAATATTCTTTTTTATAACAAAAAACTGAGTTTACTGTCATATTCACGGCATTGACAACAAAATATATCGGACTCTTTACTGGACAGTTTGACACTAAGTTCAGTTCGATCGTTTTTTGACGAAACATGTCTTATTTGTTTTTCAGTAGAAGAATGTTTCTTTTCTGATTTGTTTTTCTTTGTCGAATTTTGGTCGATAAGTTCCAATTTTTATAGTTGGAAAAGTTGAATTTTTACACTAACAATTTGCAAAGTATGAAATTGTAGGTAAAGAGGGAGCACGAATTTATTTCTAGGGAAAAGGCAATAAAATCTACCCTGAATAGTTTTACTAATGACATTTAAAATGACTCTTTTTACCCTGAATATGTTTTTCGAATATAAGTTTTCAGGGAAAATTGCGACTTTTTGCAAGTCGACTTTAAAATGCTACAAAATCTAACGAATATTTACTAAAAAAGAGAGTACTACTCAAAATGTTGTCAATAATTTCGAATTTGGGAAGAAATTGTATGAAAAAATGGAAACTTACGCTAAATAGTGAATTCTGTCCGGCGACAATGACGACCAGTAAAAGCTGCAACCCAATTGTTAGCACCTTCGTGCGAATCGATTTTGAACTCATTTTTTTCCAATGAGATCGAATCCAACACCAGATACCCGGTTTGAATTCACAAATTCAATTTGTGTATTCAATAATCGCACCGATTTTAATCGTCAATCTTTCCGATTTCAAACCGCAAACTTATCGGTCTTACGTTTGATTTACCATCAAGAAATCACGTACAAGTTACAGTCTACAAAAGGAAGAGAATAAAAAAAATTGTTATTAAAATGTTCTTTTTTAATAAATCTGTTCCTTCCTAAAAAAAATATATTATGCAATGGGTAAATGATACGGTCTTAAGTGTTTCTTTCGTCATATTTGGCAAGATTTTAAAGTCAGTTCATTGCAAACAGCAAAAAATCGACTTATTGCTGAAAAAACCTTAAAATTGTGCCACTGTAATACGAAAAATGTGCAAAATTAATAAAAATCGTCAATTTTTGGACGCTTTTAAAACTTCCAACCTAATGACACCTCATCAAGTTCGATGAATTTCGAACCATTGGTCATTTATTTCGGGAAAAAAATGAAAGTGTCCACATTGATTTGTTGAAATGAAGAAAAGTCCATAAAATCACATTCGTTGCACATAATAATCGCACCGCAGCTGGATTTCGCAGCAGCCGATGAACTATCTCTTTTTTTGCTCTCTCTGTCTCTCTCTCTCTCTCTCTCTCTCTCTCTAAATATCTTTGGCGATCACGTGAACAAAAAAAGGTATAACAACGAAACGGTTGCAGTGAACAACCGAGCATAGCGATTAAGATTGGAATTGGTATAAAACGGTAGAACACGTAACACAATTTTCTGACGTTGAGTTTGCCAATTCCGTCTGAAATTGGGCAGCAAAAAAAGAAAGAAAGATAATGTCAATAAATTACGGAGTGTCGAATGAAAAAAGCATTGGCGCAGACAAACAACAATGCAAAACATTTGTAGTACGTGTTTGTGTATGTGTCACCGCGGTTCGGCGAGGCAAAGGTTTAACACGTTATACCAAAAGTTGTATGAACGCTTTATTAAGTTATATATTGAGTGAATTGCACATAAATTTGAACGGAACGGTGAAGCGCCTCTCAATAATTTATGGTCATCGATTAAAGTAAGCACGGGCGACGAGCATATTGAGAAAAAGCGGCAGCGGCACCAACAACAGCATAGCCGTATATGCGCTGAAGGTCGCGCGTTTCAATTACGAATTCGATTAATCGTGCATTGTATACGCGCGCGTCGAAAGAATGAAAAAACGAAGAAGAACGAGAAAAAAGCGTGTGCCATGCGAAGATCGTAAGCCGAAATTGTGTCAAATTGGTTTTTTTTAAATATCCAAATGGTTTTTAGACCATTTTCGACCGAGGAATCACCATTAGCCTATCATCGCAGCGGAATTTAATTTAACGGTTTTTGTTTGATGCTATCGAATTATCGATACATTTGACCGTGTACTTTTCATGGGCAGATTATAACGATAATTTATCCAAAATACGCGTAATTCAAATGATGAACCCGATTTTTTTTTCATCGTCGAAGATGATGATGATGAAACCGTAATTGCGATCACCGTGTGACAGATCAATTTCAATTCAACAAACAAAAAAATCTCTCATACACACAATTGAATGGTAATAATCACATTTCTTTTGAACCAACAATTTAAATAATAAACAATTGATTCTTCAACAACAATATAGCGATCACTTTCAATGTCACGAGTCATCCGAAAGGACGGGTCGAACGATTTTTTGCGGGTCGACAATTGATTTTTACGTACGAAAACATTTCACCCACAACATTTCGCCATCAAATCCAAGTTCAACCAGACCACCGTTCACACATCATTACAATTCCTCGTTTTTAATTAGTTCGATTGTATTTAAACACGCTGATTGCTCATATTTTTCCCGATCACATTTATAATCGCGCGATATTTTTTATTATAATTTCATCGTTTTTGAACTCTGCTGTCATCGCGACGACCATGAAAATGTACATCCAGTTTGAATTGGAAGTTGTGAAAAATGAAAGTGAAACAAAGATGAATTGCAAACTGGTTGGTTATGAGTGTGGATGGTGAAAATTCAATGAACTCTCGCTTTGCAACCACTTTTGTTTGAAATTCCACACTATTAAATGTATATTTAATTATCGCAGCTTTTTTATGCGAGTCTAGAGTGTGGCAGAGGTAATTGCTGAATGAAATTGCACGATTCTCTAGCTGCATCAATCAAAAGTACATTTTGATGGGTTTCATAACATTTTTTCGAACAAAAAGTGAAAAATAATCGAGAGATATTGAACGTTTTCATTGAGATTGACTAATTGGTTTGAAATTCACAGAATATTTCGTCATCAGTTTGCTATCGATACTATTTACACACACTTTTTATATGGAAAGACGATGGTGTTGAGACTTTTATCAACTTTTACCGTAACTTTTTTTCTACTTTCTAAAAATTCGGCGAATTTTAAAACGGGTTACGGTACTTTTCAGATTTCCGAAATGGAGTGCTCAAAGAATATATTCCTAATTTTGGCATGCACAAACGAATGTTCTAACAAAACACGATTCTTATCGTTTCTGTAGCAAATGTGATTGGATCCAATGACGTAAATATTGGTGCTTAAACCGAACTAGAATGTTAATTAAAGATAATATTTGACAGATATATTTGTTATTGCGTTTTCACTGATTCCGAACAGCGATGATCTTATAAAAAGTTCTTCGAATGTGAAATTAGTCCAGTTGTCATTCAAATTCGGAGCAGATCGCATTTAAAAAAGTCCTCTTGCCAACTTCTCATTTGTTCCAAACAGCCAATTTAGCTCTTTCTTCTGTGGTGTTGAATTGTAACTTATCGTATTTGCTTTCAACAATGAAGACATTCGCAGTAGTTATTCTTTATTTCAGTGTAGCTTCGATCAGTGCTTTTCCAGGTAACATTCAAATATCTATGCAAAAATGAATTGAAATACACCTTAACGGTATAGCTATTAATTTCGATCAATTTTAGGGGAAAGATTCAAGCAAACCGAAAAAGAGTAAGTACAATTCAATGTTCTCAACAGCTGATAAACCGTATTTTGTATATTGAATATGAATAGAGAACTATGGCAAGTAGTTCATGGTGCTGCCGAGAGTGGTGAGTGAAAATTTGTGCAATTTCAAAAGGAGATATTGATTTCATTAATGTTCGACACAGGCAATGCAGAAAAAATCGTACAACTAGTGAAAAATATAACAAATATCAGAGACCCCAACACTTTTAACACGCCACTCTATGTTGCGACTAGAAATGGTAAATTCATATTACGCATGAAAGAGTGTCCTTATTTAAAAAGTAAATGAAAATTTATTCCAAACAAAAGGTCATGAGAATGCTGTGGTCGCACTTCTTAAGAATGGTGCCGATGCAAATATTAGAGGAAAAGAAGGATGTGAGCCAATACACGCTGCAGCCAAAGCAGGTAATTTCAATGTCAAAATTCACAAGTATTCTGCACGGAAATTCAAAGTGGTTTATTCAAATTGAAATGTTGATCAAAACCATTTTCATTGTAGGTTATCTGCGAATTGCTGTATTGTTACTTGAAAATGGGGCACATATCAATAGCCAAAATATCGATGGATCAACGCCCTTAAAATTAGCTTCAGATAATGGTAGAACGAATCAATGACACTCTTGTCTTAACCAGACAATATATTGAATTAACTGGTCAGTTCAGCTGACAGTACGTTAGCCAGCTAAATGGGCTAAAACAATAGACGTTATTGTTTTAATGATGAATCACTTTTCTTGTTTTAATGGGAGTGATTGTTCATTATAACAATAACTTCTATTTTTTTAGTCCATTTAGCTGGCTAACGTACTGTCAGCTCATCTGACCAGTTAGTTCAATATATTGTCTGGTCTTAACAACAATGAATAATTGAATGAATTTCATCCCCACAGGTCATGATAATGTAATTGAGATGTTGTTAAACAAACGTGCCAATCTTAATTTGGCTGATAACAATGGCGATACACCGATTTTTGCGGCAACTCGCAAAGGTACATCCTCACAATTTGTGCGAAATAAAGAGTGTCTTTAGTCAAAATCAAGCAAATAATGTTGTCAATTTCATCAAAACCAGGAAATGGCCGAATTGTGGAAATGTTGATCAACAACGGCGCCGACGTGAGAGTGAAAAATATAAAGGGCGAAACTCCGATCTTAAAAGCCACTTTACTAGGTAAAAAAGAGCCGTATAAATATTTGACGAAAAGTTTAAAATTTAAACAAATTAAATGCATTAAATCAAGGTAATGGACGTATTGTTGGGATGCTGATTAGAAATGGTGCCGATGTAAATGTTGTACGAAAGGACGATTCATTAGCACCACTTCATGTTGCAACAAGTTACGGTAAGTCAATGAACATTTTCTGGAAAACACACACACTCTATGTTTCGAACACAAATTTGAGAAAAATATATTTTTTATCAAACTCAGCCCGGGACGTAGTTTATGAACGAATTGCTGAATTACTTATCAAAAATGGGGCAAATGTTAATCTTCAAGACGCCGGTGGAGAGACACCAATTATTTTAGCTGCCGGAGCAGGTTCTTTTTTCAGATTTTTTTAATTCTGCAAAATTTTAATTTTGCTTCTTTCAGGCTCCAAAAAAATCGTTGAAATGTTAGTCCGTTTTGGTGCTGCTGTTAATACAGCCAATCCAAATCTGTCGACACCACTACATGAGGCCACGGAAAGAGGTATTAATATTCATAATAACCAATTATTTTGTGGAATTTGATGCGAAAATTTTGATCAATCAGGCAGTGAACAAGTTGTGGAGTATTTACTGAGCAAAGGGGCCGACCTGAATTTAAGAAATGCAGACAATGACACCCCGCTGGATATAGCCAAAATAAAAGGTTCTGATTACAACTGATTTTGTTTCATTTGACAAATTAATTCTTTCTTCTTCAGGAAATATGAAAATCATCGAACTTCTTGAAACCGCTCCCCAAACTCGATCAGCAGAAAGGACCACCCAAAGAGGAACCAACTAATTACTTATGACCAATATTTTTTAGTTTTATAAACTTATATTCAAGCGCCTTCGTGAATTACGAAAAAAGATCCGTTTTTCTTGTCATAAAAACAATTTAAAATTGTTAAACAAATAAATATCTATTAATTTAATGAAAAATGTGTATTTCGCTGCCGCATCTTGCATAGTTCCAACCATATTTGTACTTATATATAATCGCTGAAAGTTGGAATTGAACGAATTTTTGGTTGAATGAATCAAATTTTGACATTATCGGGAGACGGATAGTTTTCGACGAAATCGACTAACTGTATCTGAATGTATCTGACCACAGAACATTTCGTTGTAAACCCAAAATCGTATTTTCCATAAAATAAATTCGTGGTCTTAAATGTCAATCTGTGACAAATTCTTAAGAATTGATAAAATTCGAATTAAAAAAAATGCAGGAATGAAACTGATTCAAAACCACAAGTTCTTTTATCGATTTCAACTAAAATTGACAACAGCTATTATTTCTAAAAGTAATAACATGTGAAATGCAAAATAATAAGAAAAAAATCATTTGTTTGCTGCGTGGTTGTGTTATTCAACGAAAAAGATAGAAAGTCGGAAGCATAAAAAATTATTTTCTGCGTATTGAAATCAAGATTTTTTTTCAAGTTAAAACGTTAATCATTTTTTACTGCGCAACCACTTCGTATTTAATCATAAAAAGTTGAATGAAATCTATACAATAAATTAACCCTCAACTGCGGTTTAAAAACAGCGACGGAATTCGAGGAAGTAAATAATGTCTCCCGCACTGTTTGAAAGCGTAAAATGCAGTGATGGTTTCTCGTTAGCCAGCATTGTCTTAGCCTTGGCTTACACCAAAAACTGGTGTATGCCAATCGTTAGCCAGCTATCTGTGTGACTACGTACGGTTCTCACTGACGTTTATGAGTGACATACAACTCAGTGTATTATATATACAACACATTCTTTAGCCAGTGTATACATTTGTGGCAAGCTAGCCAGCTAATGTGCCCATCACTGGTAAAATGGAAAGTAAATGAATGGCTTGAACCTGATTGCATCGGGCTGAAAGCAGTAATTTTGGGTCTGGACTCTTTTGAAAACAATATTCATTATCAGCCGATAATGGCTAGAAACCACTAATAGACGAAATTAATTTAAAAGCTAAATGAACCGAAAAGACACCAACAGAGACACTTCGAAAAGATACCAAGAGACACTGCAAAATTAGGACTTGCATGGAAAGGTGTTCGCAGCGTGGAAAAGTAGCATTTGGATGGCAAAAAGGTGGTTTTGCACAGTAGTAAATCTACGCGGCATGAAATTGAAATGTCTTGAATGAAGACATTTCATGTAAATGACGTCATTTTATGGCATGTCGATATAAATGTCACGCGAGTCCATTAACCACGCTCGTACTCTGGCTGACATTGATAGCTGTGGTGTATAAAGATTTAAACAGCGTTAATAAAACACACTTAAATCTAGCGATTAAACGCAATTGAGCCGACGACCGAAAAAAAGAATTGCTCTGAAGATGGTATTCAATGTGAAACAATTGAAGTTGAATACCTTCAATATGGAAGTTGATGATTCAGCGAAAAAACGCGATCGATGAGAGGTTTTAAGAATCGAATGTTTAAACAAAGTGCTTTTGATAATTTGTTTTATCATTCGAAATGCGCAAATTGAATCACTTTATTTACCCAGCTGAAAATCGTCATGAATTGAAAATTCATTGCAAGTGATTTATGAGTCAATCAATGAAGTATTGATTGCGATTGCGCGAATCCAATGTTATGCGATTCCATTGTTCACGATTCGAGGCGAACAAAACGCACAAACTCGCTTTCGAGTTGAATGAAATGTTTCCCTTTTAACGTTGCTGGTATAAATCACCGCAAATAGTCAATTCGTGTTTATCGTCACATTATTATCGCAATTGGTTGTTCGATGACGGAAAATCTCATCACCCGATCGGTATGACATTTTCGATCAAATCTCATCGTAAATCGTGTGTTTAGGCTGAAAAATATTCCCATTGTCGTGCCATTGGATTCCACATTATTTATTATTACATTGAAACGTTGCTGTGATTGCCGGCGGACATCGCGAGTGATAAATCACTCAATATGCGATGACGATTGAATATCGTTTAAGGCGACAACAAACACACACATTTCGGAATATTTTTCAATGTTTCGATGAGAAAAGATGGCTGAGCCCAACGATCGCAAATTGTGTGATTGCAGTGCGGTGATTGTAACAACAAAAGAAGAACAAGCAAAACCGAGGTGAAAAGTTCATCGCCAACGACTTTCTCATTCTCGATTTCTCGAAATAGAGAAAAAAAGCGCTACATTCCAAACGAATTATTATTATACAATTACAAGGCTGGTGCATCGCAAGCGGGAGAGACAGAGAAGAAAATCGATATGAATATTTGGATTTGGAACATTGAATTTCGAAAATGCCAATGACATCATAGCTTTCAATCACTCATCGATCGTGATCGAAAAACGCTTTCCGCCACAAAACCTTCTTTTTTATTTAATAACAAATTCATTGCACCGAAACACTTATGTTCATCCTCTAATTACCATCAGTTTTGCTGCGATTTTAATGCCAAAATGTCAGTTTTGGCACTTTAGTAAAAACTTAATTAATCAAAACATTGCTTAAATCTCACAAACACTATGCTCGTAACGATAGATATTTATCGCACTATTTTTACGGTGATTTTCAGTGTGAATTGCGTTACACAACTTTTGCTTGGCCATTTAAAACAACTTCTTGATGTTATTTCAATTATTATTCAATTGAAAGTGTGGTCTTTTTTTCTCTTTGGCGTTCGCATGATCGATGATAGACAACAGTATTTAGATGCTTCTGTGTGGTTTGATTTTGATGGTTTGACACGTATGGAATTTGGGGCATTTGCATCTTTGTGAAGGACTTTAGAGCAACGAAAAGAATTTGCGAACTTTGGAGTGATGCAACCGATGAGATGATATTTTGAGTTTGGACAAATTCGAACGCATTTTGGTTTGCATCTTTTTAAAACGACCATACACAATTATCGCATTCTTCTAGTTTTAGTCAATAAAGTACTAAAAATTAACCGTTTGTTTGTTAATTCAAAGGTCTTCAATTTTCTGATATGAAATAATAAAACCCACTTGTTTACTTCAGAAGCTGTGCTATTAATCAAAAGATCTATAAAATCAGAACTTTTACTCGAACTAGCTTCAGGAGCTGCTGGATAGTTGCTGTTCAGCAGTAGGTGATGAATTAATAGGCAACATGTTTTCGTCTGAAATTTTGTTCGAGAATTGAAAGAGACACGTTTTAAACTTACTCCGAAAATGTGTGAGAAATCCGAACACCAGAATAACCCTGATCGAACCCCGTCATGCCAGAACTATTTTCGGGAAGTTGTAGATTGGACGTTCGGATTGGGGGTCTGATGCGACCTCTGATCTTAAGCAGTGGTGTCAACGGACAGAGATGGACTCGGACAAACCATCGATTTTGGTGTCCGTCCGAACTTAACTTCACGAGGTTCATGAGTAAGAGTCCGCACTGCAAGATTTGCATAGTGAGAGAAAATTCACAAATTTCGCCTTTACACAAAATTACTGCTTACGATAGCGGCTGGCGAATAACAGCAACTGATCAGTTAGTAGTACTACGCTAACTTGGTATTCCGCTCCAATTTAAAATGCATTAACTGACATTTATTGTCAATAAAACTTGAAGAGGTCAAATCTCTGCAAATTCTACACGAAATTTCCAATAGTTTCCAACTCACAAATCGTTTAAAAAACCTGTTCAATCATCCCAATCAAAAATTAACCGCCAATGAAATCTCATCATCAAAATCAATTAAATACATCATAAAATGATTATATGTGTGTTTTATGATCCAACATATTCATTAGTCTCGACTAATTTTGTTGCTGTTTTTTTTCTGGGTGAAGATCTCGCTCAAAAAAACATGAGTGCTAAACGAATCAAGTGGCCAGCTTTTCGGATGATCCATTCGAAAAAGGTTGGTAGTTGCGATGCTTGTTAATCAATTAGTCGTTATTTGAAGTGTGAAACGTGTATAAGAGATAGAGTTGATTAAATTGAAGCCAACGTTAAGCGTGCGAAGTGTGCTCTCAACAGAATCATCGCGTGCGAGATGCGATCGTTAAACTTCAAATAGGTCGGCAAACATTGTGTGTTTTTTATGACGTAATTTTGTTGTTTATCTGGCGCGCGTAAGCGATGAGAGTAAAATCGAAAACTCCATTAATTTCGGAAGATAGTTTGGAAAAATGTCGACGAATTGCGATAAAAAAAAGCGCAAGCGTTACACGGGTTAAAGATTACAATGTGTATTTCAATCATTGGAACTCGTACAATGCACAGCAGTTGGTAGCCACCACAATTCCGTTTGTGTAAAACGGTAATTTCCCAATACGCGAATTTGAATTGATCTGTTTTGACCGAGAAGATTGGGAGAGACGTGCGTGAAGCATGAAATAAATGCACATATATGGTTTTGTATTGAAATTCCAGTTTTGGATGCGCAAGCGATTATTTAAGAAGATTGCGATCGATTTGCTCGAAAATGCTCATCGCAATCGAGATTGTGCTCTCATGTCAACGAGCGAGGGCGAATGCCAAAACGGAACGCTGCACAACAATTATGCAATCGCGTAAGATCAACCGATTACATTTGCATGCGATGTGCAATACACACATTTCCGATGCTTAACATCGGTTGTAATGACAGACAGTTTTGTTTTACACACCGATTTGGGTCGAAGTTGAACATGAGCAAAATCGCTGCTTTTTTCCTTTCTTCTTTTCTTGGTTCACCTCGTTCATGTCGAACACTCTCATAATCATTCCAGAGTTCCTTTCTCATCACTCAAATTAAATAATCATCGCATTTTAAACAAAAAAATTTATCAAATGTGTAACACATGCCGCAAACACGCGATTCATTGTTTACTACGGTTGTTGCTTCGTTCCAAGAAATAACAATCGATTAATTGAACCCAATTAATCACTCCGAA